GGGCAATAGGAAGTGACTTGTGCAAAGGTTTCAGCCCTTTAGAAGATTGGATGCGTTTGTGGAGAGCCAGCATGTGTGGTTGCGTGAGACTGTGTGTCTTCAGTTCTCCCTGCAATGATCGATAGCTTCGAAGCTTGTTTTCTAAAGCAAGATCACTGGAGAACTGGAATGATTGTGCCCCAGCGGACCTGACTTCCAATGACTCAAGGCAGGCCCCATCAGCTTTTATCTTGACAGGGTTCTGTTGGCCCGATATTTGCGAGGAAGCCTGGTTGAGTTGGGGGTTGAGAAGAGACGACAAAGGTGTCCTTAAGAGTTAATTTATGCTTTAAGAAGAGACATCGGTGTACACAGGTCCGAAGAATCATTTTGGGAATTGACAAGTATGAGTCTGGGTTTGGATCGGGATCAAATTGTTTTGGCCGATTGAAGTGTGTAAGAACGAGTTTGGTGATGAAAGAGAGCCAATGAAGAATTGTATAACCTTTGAACTTAGAAGCAAGTTGTAAAAAGAAAAAAGACAAACACACATCCGCACCGGAGACATAGCCAATGATGATATGCGTGGGAAAGATATGGGAGCAGTAGACAACATCAGCCATTTAGCGGTGAGACTGAAGAAGAGTTGTCCCTCCAAGAATCAGAGGTGCTGGAATTCGAATGTAATTTGATCAGATGTCAGATAGCAGACTCATCTTCTCCCTCCAATAGCATGAGAAGGAATAGACCCGAGATAGAAAGGCACAAATGGGCAAAAGAATAGGCAATAGAGAAACCACGTCCAAGGGTGTTATCTGCCGAAGCGTCACATGAAACCCCCATTGAGGTAGCTAATAGAGCGGAGTCCATCAGAACTGAACACTGCTCCATGTTGCACCTGCATGCGAATCGAAATCATACCCAAAATTGGGAATGCGTGTATAAACTCATCAGTGGCTAGAAAAGGGACATCAGCAGGGAATAGGTAATCCCATGGCGGAAGAAGCAAGGTTGCCACCAGCAGTGATTGGGGCTGATGCTGGAGCAGCGGGTGGTGGAGGAGTGTTGCCACCAGAAGAGGGTGCCTTGTAAGGAAACTTGCGGAACCACGATGTTCCCTGGTGAAATGAGCACTGGTGCCTTTGGAGAACCTTCACAGTTGCGACAGTATTTAGCAACCACCTTCCATCAACAGAAATGGTGTGTTGGGCATCATCGGGAATGTTCTCCCTTGGAGCATGGAAGCAAGCTTGTCTTTGATAAGAGTGTGAGTTTGGAGTTGGTTTCAGCACTCAGACCGTTGTCCTTGGGAGCACCTCGCTTGGGACATCTGGATCGTTTCTATGATGATCATGAGCTCCACAATCAAAGCAAGCGCCTCCACGAGGACGGTACCGCCACTGGCTGATCCACTTGTTCGATCCTGAGTGAGACTCCACAACTTTTGCCTAACTGCTTTGTCAATTGCTGCCTGGAAGGCTTTGGCCTGGGATCCCTTGGATCACAGATGTTGGGCAGGCTCATAAGTTTTCTGGTTGATGAGGACCCGATTAGGGCATCCAAGTCATTCAAAGTGTCGAGTGCTTCCAATTGTTTGTTCCCATAGTTGCTATCAAATCCCTTGATGTCACTCCTTGACCACAAGCTCATGGACTTTGGATGAAAATATGGACAACCCAAGCCAAGGAGACCCCTCAAAGACGTGCTGGTTAGTTCAGCATGGGATCACTGGAATAAAGTTTAATGAATCTCTTTGATGATCTTGCTTCATCGACAACATACATGGAAACATTCTCCCAGGGAACTTGGTGATGTCCAATGAAGTAGCTTGGCTTTGTGGGTTTCAATCTTACTGAGAAAAGGTCTGTATATTTCTGCAAAAGAGCCAAGAGAAGTTGGGGCCCATTTTGTTTGGCTCAGGACATATGATTTCAATTCTTCCTGGAGTGCATCAGTGCAAAGAGTTCAAGACAGCCTTTCCCGACCAGGCAGGTTGGTTAGATCATACTGGCAAACAGGATGTTTCTGCAGATCCCCATTGGCATCAATGAATCTGACCCCATTGACTGTGAGGTCCTGATGCCATTTTTCCATCATAGACTCTGAGACCTGTCCAGGGGCAGTGAACATGTTGATTTTATTAATAGTGTTAGTATTAAGGTCTCCAACAACAAGCTGGAAGACCCCTTCCATTCCATGCTCTGTCATCATACTTTCAAAGGCGATAAGAGAGGCTAGCACATGAGACCCAGAAGCATTGGACTCAGTCAGAGTGGAAAATAGTAGACTGGTGGAATCCTTCAGTCCTTTCTGTCATGCCAATTCATAGGCTGGAGTGTGGTGTGATGTTTCAGATGGTCTACCATGAACCCCTGAGGCATAGGGGTCTTTGAGGTTCCTTTCCCAGTCCATCTGAGCCAGATCTGTCCAGGCTCCAGTGTGGTTGATACCTCCCAGCCGAGGGGCTTCTGTAAGCTGGTCTTCTCTTTGGTTTTCCCAATGTGTGGAGGAGCTCCTGGAATTGAACTCGTCAATTGGTGCTGCAGTCATGGTTTGGAGGATCAGATGGTGGATGATTGGATCAGATTTCAAAGAAGGCTTGTCTGAAGCCTTGTGACTGAACAAGGATGCTGGTGCTGGCGCTGTGTGTTGTTGAAGATGAAGATGCTGAGGCAGAGGAAGCGTCGTCAAGGTCATCAAGTGAGAATTCAACAAAAGAGGCAATGGCTATGCAATGGCAACAGCGGCAACAACAGAGGAGCGGCACAAGAGGAGTGGCGACAAGAGTAGCGCAGTGGATATCCAATCAATCGAGTCAATGAAGTTGAATTTATGATCCTTCGAACAGCTCGGCGAATCGGTGAGCTGTTATCTTTCGTGTCGACAACTGCAAGCGAGTTCTCGTCGTTTGAATCTTCTGCAAGCGAATCGTTCGCTTGAACAACAACAACAACAACTGCAGCCAGTTCAAACGACCAATGCCGGTCCTGGGTTTAAACAGAGACCAACTGCGATCGACCAACAGCCACATGAACAACAACTGCACGGAGCGATCGATCGCCCGTGATGTTGTTGTTCTTCACGTTTGGAATGAAAAAGTGAGAGTTTGCTCGAAGACATAAGCATGCATGACTCAGGCAGTTCAAACCGATAATATCGGGTAATAAAGCATGACTCAAGGCATGACACACAAGCCGAGCCTTATTATTGCAGACGGAGCTCATTTTTCGATGAATTTGTTAACTCGGCCGATCGATCGCTCCGTGTTGATGGGATCTCGGCCGATCGATCGCTCCGTGTTGATGGGATCCCTTGACGATCGGCCAAGGCTTTGCGGTGATAGAATAACAGTAGTAGCAGTAACAGAAGCAGTACCAGTAGGGTACCTGCGTCGATTGAGAGAAAGGTGGACTCCCATAGAGTCCATTGTTTAAAATAAGGTCCTCATCGCGATTTTGATCAACGACAGGATGAAAGGTGGACTCCTGTAGGAGTCCATGGTTGTGATTGCTTACGAGCGAATCAACAACACAATGTTAGCAGGGATTGCTTGCGAGCGAACAGGAATTAAGTTGCAATAAGGAGGATACCGTGAAGATAATGAGAGGAAACTCCGGACTCTGCATCAAGGGTAGTCATTCCATTGACAACCATAGGGATAGACATATAAGAATAAGAATGAGTAACATCTCATAACCTGCATGCTACCATGCGACAATACCATTGTGTACTGATTAATCTAACGATCTAAGAGATGTAAATTTGTATTTCCAAATAAGTGAGCAGTTATTGATTATTTCTAGAATAAGCCTGCTAATTGTAAAGCTGTAAAGCTGAATTGTAAGCTGTATCCCGTCGCAATCTCGTCAGTACTACCGGTACCGGTACTGTGCCACCAACCGAATGAAATGGTGAAATAATGGTTAGTTCTTGGATCGGTGAACCACTGTGCAAGGACAAACTAACGACGGAGGCATGACACCCACGTGAAAGTAAGTGTCCTGCAGTTCCTTGTCAATTATTGTCAAGAAGATTCCTTCGTCAAGTACTTTCCAACTTCTTTTATGATGATATGGTGGTAAGACACTCGCTAACGCCGAGAACCTGAGGAGTCCTCGGTGCGAGCCTCCTCCGAAAGCTCTCAGTTTCCAGCTATGACTGCTATGGCTCGTACTCTAGCAACCAACCAGCTCTTTACTGGAGTTCATTTCCGAAAAGATTTCCTTCGAACTCTTTCCTGCCAGTCTCTGGACCATAGTCGTTTCCTGTATTGGCAATGAAGCCACCAAAAAAATGGCCTTGTTCGAAACTTGATTGGGATTGATTCTCAATTTGTCCAGAAATCAGCAGAGCAACTTTGGAAATTAAATTCTAGTTTGAGCGAAAGATTTGTTAAACTCACTACAAGAAAGGTCCAAAAAAGGATAAATACAGGCCAAAAACTTCCTGTGAGGGCGAAAAATTTTGGGATCTTTCTCGCTGTAGATGATAGTTTCACTGTAGGTAGACTACAGTCGTATGCAGAAGCGACTTTCAGCAGCCAAACGGTGGGACTGTGCACAGTTCTTGCTCGTCACTCATCGTACCGTACCTTGAAACGATGAGTGCCGGTAGTTTCAAACATAAGCTTGCCGGTACCGATTAGACTACAGTGGCTGCTGTGTCTTTGCTTCTTGCACGCCTCATCTCATTAATTCGCGCTCTGCACAAAACACCGTGACAACAGAGCAAGATGCCCTTCCCAGTAACCACACAGAGCAAAAACACCAACAAAGACGTCCGCGTCAAGCGAAGCGATAGAATCCTCCGCAAAAGTAAGTCTAATGTTGATGTTGCATCCGCTCCACTGTGGAGTTCCAATGGGGCAGCATGCCAAACGATGGATGATGCAGGCATTGCCGGCGTCAACTCGTCGTGGCAGAACCGAAAGGACACCATGCTGAAGAGATGCAAGACCTACCCCGTGCCGAAAACTTGCGACGAGGTTGGGGCTGCATACCACATGCCCTGTGGCAACCACTGGGATCAGCGAAAGTCAGCTCTCATAAGGTCGAAAAGTTTGAACTCTGGGGAAAGCAAGAAGGCCAAGAGGCGGGTTAGAAGGATTCCGAGGGCCAGGAGACAGAAAGAGTCCCCACCGGTGCCGAAGGCAACCCCAGACCCAGAGCAGACGCCTGCCCCAAGACCTTCGTTTTGTCGGTGGCAGAGTGAGCCTCAGCTGCTTGTGGAGCTAGAGGAGGAAATTCAAGTGCAACAAGGCAGCGATCAGAAGATGACCCGATGGGATACCGGTACTGGTAGTAATGGTAGTCCAAGGCGGTGCACGAGTTGCCCCCCTGTACCTCGGCGCCCCTCAAGCCCCAGCAAGGAGGACGCTGACTCCGCTACAAAAACTTATTCTCCCAGAAAGCCGCAACGGCGTGCCTCTGTTACCAAGGAGGACGATCTTTTCCCTATTGGAAAGCCAACGATGGCATTCGTGGGGGAAATGACTGACTACGAAAAGGATCTAATAGTAGAGGATCAGAAAGTCAATGTGATCAGCTTTGCGGCATAATCTTTTATTTAAAAAGCATGCAGCAACTGGCAAGAAGCCAGATTTTTTATGTGCATGCTTGGAACATTGCTACCGCGACACATTCCAAGCAGCATCAGCAACCAGACCATTTGGTTTTTCGTTTACTATGAACACTGCTTAATAATAATAAGTGCTTTACAAAACATGCGAGTTCAAGCTCGATAACTCTCTTTTTGCGAGCTCCCCGCTCGACTTTATACTTCGACTTCCTCCACAATCTGAGGATCGGGCACATTCTCGAAAGCAGCGTCAGTCTTGCTTCCAGTGTCTTCCTCCCCGTCTTCAGCTTTTTCGTCCTTTTAATAACTGCGTTGCTACAACAAAAGGATGGCGATCAGTCCGCAGACCCCACCGATGACAATCCAGAGGGCAGCAGTGTACTTGACATAATCCGCACTGTCAATCTTTTCAAACCGTTGGATACCACCGCGACAGTTGTACCAAGCCGTGACCAAGAAAGCAACAACATGGCTGGCAATACCAAGGAATCGAATCGGTGCTCGGCTTCAAACATCCGACGACTCAAGGTCTTGGTACCAGGATCAGCATCGTGTTGTCCTCGTGTATCGCCCTTTCCCAAATTAGCGTTGGATGGCGCGGGAGGATGAGGACGGAAGATACCCGTCCACACTAAGTCTCGGTCTCGCACAATCATGTACTGGTACTGATCATCCAATACAGTGGTTCCCGGGAGTTGGACTAATTTCTCGAAACGGTTGGCCAAGCAAGTGTGACCGAACCGGTCGTTTAAGCCAGCAAGTGGTCTGAAAGCATGTCCTTCGTTTTCATACGACGTTTTCTCCCTTCCCGCCCGCCACGAATGACGTGAGATTTTTAAGTGGTGGTTTAGGGTGGTAGCGGTACCGGTAGGCTATCTACAGATTCATGACATTGTTGTCCATGGCCAATTTGAAGTGAAAAGCTAGATAGCTGGCACTAGCTAGCTAGACCTAGCGAAATTAGTCGGTACCGGTACATGTATTGCAAAACTGCCCTTCCGCCTACCTTCACACAACATTGCTGAAACGAGGAAGCCACGTGTGGTCATCGGATAATTCCGACAGGCAATAATCGGTAGTCCAAATAGGACTCCGTAGCGGTCCACCAGTACATCATGCAAATAACGGTCTCAGACAGCAGCAGCAGCCAGCAACAATCCCTACTACCTGGTACCAGGTACTAGTAGCTAGAGCCCGATTGCCGAAAAGCTGAGGGGAGAGGTGCGGTACACTAAGCAGAAGCAATGATGCAGCAATGAAATCGAATCTTCAAATCAGAGCCTGCCTCTACTACCAGGTACCGACGCCGCAAACTCTTCATCCCATCGACTGGCACCCAGGCTGTGCGTGTGCTCTACTGCCACTCGGTACCGCAACGAAGAATACAGCTTTGGATATTGATCAGATGCCACGAAAGAGGCAGAATGTATCCTCTAGTTCTCTCTTTTCCTTTTCCTGCTCTGTAGTGCTCTGAACTACATGTACCTTCTAGGCTACCGCCCCGCCAACCACCAACCCGCCCACATTGGCTGACTCAGTTGTGGCTGTGTCTGCCTGTGCTTTGATCGGATTCAATGATCTGATCAGTTCTCATGTACCGGTACTGATCACACCTCGTCCACTTCTTCTGCATCCTATGAAAGTCCTATTGAGTCTTTTGATGGACCCCAAGAAGAGAGCACTCAGTACGAGTAGTCGTTTCTTCCCCTTACGTTAAAATAGCCTCAAGAGGCTCCAGCGTGTACATACTAGTAGTACATGTAGACGTAAACGAATGTCGCGCCTATTTCTGTCGGGCTGAAAACGTGAGCTTCGGCCACTGCTCAGTATGTGCCGTACTGGTAAGCTAGACTACAGGTTTAAAGTCGGTTTTGGTCCATCGCTTTGAGACATCAGAGATACTATAGCAAAAACAGTTCAATATCGGAAACCTTCTGTCTCACTGTCCATTTTCTGAGTTAACGGGACTCCATGGTGGACCAAAATATTTATGAATGTCGTAAAAAGTATAACGAAAATAAAATACAGGTTTAACATGGGGTATATGATGTTAAATCATGTTGTCAGTATGGGTAACATGCTATCAGTCAATGGTACTTGAGGTCGATTTCGTATTGATCTACTTATGGGTCAATTGGACATTGAGACAGTCATTTGCTTATAGACGGTTTTGGTCCATTTTTGGGCTGTAGCGCTGGTACACTTTCTACGTGTCTCACCCACTTCCTTTATTAAACTCGTACTGGAGATGAGAGTTGTGTTCCGGTGCCGGTGATTGTTGGCTTTCAAGATCTCTTCCCCTCTTCTTTGCAGTGATGGATGATCCAGCCAAGTGCTGCGAGCTGAACGGACCATAGGAGAGGGGCTTTCTACGATCAAGTTCATGCTCTGGGAACTTGGAATGAACTTGGACAGCCAACCCCAAGATTCGCAGTCACAGCGACTTATTGGAGATTCCCCATCAGTTGAAGAGTTTTATTGCCCCTGCGCTCTATTCTTGTCCGCGTGTTGATAGAGAGTAGGATCTCTAACTCCTATTAGCCAAGACACAGAGCACTTCAAGGTACTGGTGTCCAAGGCATGTACTCTTATTCTCATACTAATCTGGAGTACCGTTACGGAAGCAACGCTTTTTACCATTGCAAACGCGTCTCTCGATTTAACGATTCATAATGATGGGGTCGTAAAATGATCATGGTGTCGTTCACTTAAGCCAAGATCGTGGCTGGGTTCTTCTCCTCCTTCTCTTTTGGTCTTTTTATAGTGAAAGAGTAGAGCACTAAGCGGAGACACTCTGTGTGACCGAGGGGAAGTTTTTCGAAAGCAAAGCCTTTTGAAGGTCTTTGATTGCCACTCGGGTGCCAGAACCGGATGATACGCTACGGAACTTGATACGGTACCAATCCAAAACTGTGAATCCTTTGTTGCGCTGTCCCCGTGGCAATCGACATCACGACTCTTTGGCCACTCGGCACCCTCTTGGCATCCGAGATTCCCCGTTTCTTCGCTTCACCCATCAAAACTCTTTCTTCTCACAAATTCATTCATCTCTTTTTGTGTTTCCTACCGCAGCTAGCTACTTAGATAGATAGAAAATGCAGAGCCCCATGACATGCCAACGGAGCAACAGCTTTGCTGGACCATGTGCCTCTATTACTACAAGCAGCCCCTCTTCGGTCATGATCGACTTGCAATCTCCGATTCGAAGAAAGTCCTCTAGTGATGCCAACACAAGATCAGATTGGAATCGCCGCAAAAATGCCCTCTACCGACGATCCAGGACGGTACCCCTCAAGGCGCCAGTCTCGTTGGACGACGCCAGTACTGGCAACGATTCCTGTCGCAGCTGGGAACAACGCAAGGCAGGATTGAAGCAATCCCTGCAAAGCAGCCCTCGGAAACGAGTCCGTCGCATCTCACGCTCTTCGTCGCGACCGTCTCGGTGGGAAAGCGAAAGTCCCGTCAAGAAAGAACAACCAGCCAAACAAGAAGCATGCAAAGATGCCACCTGCCGATGGCAGAGTAGTTCACCACGCAGCCACAGCATGAGCCCTCAATGTCGACGTCCTATTCGAGAGGCCAATGCAGCAGTGACAGACTCTCCTCGCATGCCAAGACGACGCAATTCCAACAACTTTGACAACGTCAACAACAACATTAGCAGGCGGAAGATGCCCGCAGCGTTTCAACAACGAAAGCGTCAGCCAGCTCTCGATGTGCAGGGAAGCACTAGGGATTGTGGTGCAGGACTGGCGAATCTCAAAGCCAAAGTCAAGAGTGGATTCCCTTGAGGGTTTGGTTGGTTCATTACTAGCTAGTATAGGGAAATAGATTGAATAGAATAGACCAGTTATATCAGATCAAAACATTTTATCCGGGAATCCCACTTCTCAAACCACACATTCTTGGTAGCTAGTCTTGTTACTCCATGCATACATATGCGCCCGCGGTATAAAACCAAGATCCTTCGCCCTCCGAAGCACAGAGGGACTGTTGAGGCTGGCCAACAGATTTGCATCCATCTTCAGCCCGATAGATTCCTTTCTTCGGTGCTGAGCTTTCTCCAGGCCATACCGCCAGCTTCAGAACACTCCCGGAGAGCAATTTTTCCACCCCACCAATCCCTTCCCACAAAGCTAAAGATGGTTAACCAGGCGTCTTCTGGGAGGTCGTCAATGCTTGGTCTTACATGATACCACAGCCAGTTGATCATTTGACGGTCCGTTACCGGGAAAGACCAGTGCAGGGTTTTGCTCCACGATAGAACATTGGTGTCGGGGTACAGTTGTCTCTGTAGAAATGACTTGATCGTCCTTGCCATAGTGCTGCTACCCAAAGAGTGATATGAAAACGTTGCCTTGCCCCTTTGGCGCAATATCCAAACAGCTTTGACATCCCTTCGTTTAATTGCCATGAACCATATAGCGCGGGCCCAAAAAGCACACTTATCATCGGAGTGGTTCTTCCACATGGAGCAAGTATCCTCTCCCCGGTGATCAAATAGCGCAGTCATGCTTTCATATTCTCTTGCCCGCACTGCATAATACAATGCATGGTTGTACCCTGATGTGACGGAACAATTGGCTTGTGCGACCAAGAAGATGAGTAGCTGCGTGTAGCCATATGCAGCAGCAGCTCCAACAGCACTTCGACCGACCCTGGATATCTCCCAACCAAGATGGTCATAGTTGTCATTGGGGTCAACTCCACGGGCCATTACGGCTTGGGCGTACTCAATCAATTCTCGTTCTTTGTGGTGCTGTTGGGTGCTACGACCGCTGTGGGTTATGGCAAACGATAGCATTGAAACTGGCAGTTTGTCAATGTGAGCTTCACTGGCATCCTGCACCCGCTTGATGCATTTCCGAAAACGGCAGGCTTCCAAGTCACAACGGTGGCTTCTCCAGGGCTCACTGAGGAAGGCCATGGTTCGCTCTGTCTTCGTTCCCTGGACGCCTCGACGAACGTCGCCGTGGCCCATTGTCGCATCTTGCAGATGACGACATGATATTATGGTTTTTGATATCCAAAATACCTCTCAAACTAGCTAGCTAGCCAGTCTCTTGCAAATTTATGGATCAGCGTACCAGAGCGTGCCTTTTTCGCCCCCAAGAGCGTGGAGGTACCCGAACATACCGTATCCACTGTGACAACGCCAACGCCAACGGTCAACGAAGTATAATAGCAAAAATATTGATGAAACCATAACAAAAATATTGAATAATGTAGAGTGTCGCAATGGTAGCTAGTAGGCTAAAGACAATGCCAGCGCCTCATTCATCACCATGCTTGATGAAGCCTAATCCCACACCCGGACCAGGCCCCAACATCTTGCTTTCTGGGCGCCACTCCTGGTCCCACACCTGGACCTAGCTACCCCTGGACCTAAGCTAGACCCTTGCACAAGGCCAAAAACGCATGGTCTGTGTCCAGGCCCCAAATCTGCACCTACCGCTGAACCTCTCCGGGCCCCATTCCAGGCCCCGGATCTGAACCTACACAAGGCCATACCGGTGATTCTGGACCGACCAGTACCCCTGGTTCATCTGCAGCCAGGCCCAGGCAGCCAGACAGGCAGGACCCGCACCAGGCACCAAGCCCAACATCTTTCAAACTACAGGTAGAAAGCGATCACCATTTCAATTAACTGGCTTGCTAGCCGAGCTGCATGCTAGACAGAGGCTCCATCATAGTGTGAGTGCCTCCTGAGATGGATTTTTTTGCACTTCGTGCGCCTTTGCCGAGCTAGCTGGCTTGTGGTGGCTGGCTTTGAGAAACCAGTGGCTTCGTTTTTTGTGTCCGTTTGGGGTCAGTACTTAACGCAATGACCGTCGAGTCACCGGATTCCGACAAAAACGACCAACTCCCAACCAAAACTCTCTCAAGCTCCACTGGCTGGCCAGCAAGCAAGGGGCTGCTCCAGCATCGAGAAGGCGAGAATGGTTGCCAATGGACCTACAGACAATCAAAAGCTGCGAATGCGCTCGTTGTTCCCATACCTCCTGACTCCTGATTCTCTGTAGGGCCGACTTTAATCTTGAAGACCAAGAGCAAGAGTGGCACAAGGACCAGCACAGCTCTGTGCATTCATTAAAGTAAAATTTTGTCGACATCAAAACATCTCAGTTTCAATCCCCAGACTCTGTAATAAAGCACCATGAGGCTGAAGCAACGTCGAGAACCCAGCATGATGGCCAAGCTGTTGGACACACCCTTTGGGAACGACAAAGGTACCAATCGCAG